ACAGGTGACGGGCGTTGACGGGCGTCCTGCAGTAACAATTTTTTGTGTTACCACACAATTGAGGACGGCAGGGCCCTGCCGTCAACCTCTTAGACGGCCGTCTTTTTCAAAGGACGGACGCCCTTGCCCTGCAGCCTGAAACACCTGCCCGGGACGCCCGGGACGGGCGTCTCGTTGGTACCTGCCGGGCGGACGGGACGCTTGGGATCACTGCAGTCAACCCACGGAAGAATGAATATGAGAGCGCAGAAAGTAAGGATACCCCACCCCCAGACCCCGTGTTGGTGCGATGAACTGGGGTTAACATCTCTGATAAGCATTCTTGAATGCGGTGTGGAATGGATTACTGAAGTACGCCTCGGTCCCTGACTGGGCTTATGGCGAGAATAGCGCCTTTAGTTTTGGAGATGACATAAGCCCCTACTTGGAGTCCGACCTCCAAGTGTCAAACGCTACATTGAGAGTGGACTCAGACTCAGTTCAATATTCATACATATTGAAGGATTTCAAAGAGGGTTACTCTAGGTTGACAAACCACGTTGTTCATTCCTCTGTAAACTGCAGCTTAATCGAGTTTGACAAGGGTCATTATTGGCGCTGGAACAACGGGAACAGAACTGGACCATTCGGTATGTGGGACCCTTTTGGCGACTCAATAATCCATGGTCTAAGCACCAGTAAAGCTGAATTTGGATTTCGTGAGTTAGGTTGGGGTGAGGAGGGCAGTGCTGAGACAGTATCGGAGATACTACGGGTATCGAGGGATAGCATAGTCACCCCGCCCTCAATAACTAACTGGGTGTCATTCCTAGACCTTTCAAATGGAAGTAGTGTATCTCCCCAGATTTGTCAGTACTATTTCCCCATGGCCAAATCAGGGTCCCAGAATATTAACTTCATGATCCCACTAGATATTGTATGCAATGGGGTTGCTTGGGAATGTTGGCCATCCCTAACCGAAACTTGGCCATCCCTAGCGGAATCCGTTGGCGGCAATGCATCTCACAGAATTCACCCTCGTGAAAAATTCTTTCACGACACAGACTTATATCGGCTGTCGACAGTGGGCAATAGTGGTTACACGATGGAAGGCGGTGGGCATCGTGTCTATCTGAACGGCTTCAGTAGTTCTTCGAGCGCAGCGGCCGCCAACGATGGAGCATACGACCTTTGTCATTCTGGCTTCTTTGACCTACCGAATGAGGCGATTTGGAATGGTTACAGCCTTTGGATAGCCGGCCTAGTAGCTCGGCTACCGATCCTCGCCATAATCCACGCAAATCACGATTTGCCCAAGTACGCACGAGGCCTAAATCCTAATCAAACCAGTGGCACCGCATACCTACATACAGCCTTGGAGGTAGACTGGTTCCGAACCATGCTCATAGCATTTAGCATTACGGGGGGTCAAATCCTGGCAATCCTAGCTGTCCTTGGCTACTGCAAGGGCATCTACACACGAGACGATAGTCATCTGGCGACCGCGGAGCTGTTGAAAACAGTTATAACCAAATTCGATGATGGAAAATTGATGACGGGTGAAGAATTGGCAGCATCTCTTGACGGGGTTTTGAGAGAACGAGTTAGCTATGGGATTAGGGAAGGTCTAGATGGAGGCCCGCCGGAGGTGGATCTGACAAGTGGCTTAAACAACAACTTCCCACCATTCCCGCAGAAACGACGATTCTGGGGGGACACCGGTTCAAAGATCCCGGGGCCCTGGTGATGGGTTCGTCGGGCTTTGGGGGGGGTTTGGTGGCGGGAGATTGGCGGAGAGATTGGCGGAAGTGGAGGCAAGGGACTTGGGGCCTGTTGGAGGAAGTTTATGTTTGGTTAGAAGGTCAACATTCACTAGCACTTGTATCAGGTAGAGGAGGTGGGATTTCTCGGCTTCCTTTTCGATTTCACTGAAGATAGCGATTTTGGCATGCCCGGTAACTGAACAGGATCAGTCACCATAGTAGGTAATTTTTAAGTCGACTTGCTGCATGTTCTTTACCAGTATTCATCTGTGTGTACCACACAGTCTCATAATAATCAGAGAGGGAATCTTCTAATTATATAATTGTTCTTTGTTTTCTTAAATTCTACCTTATCTTTCCCTAGCCCTAGAGAATATTTTGCTCATTCAATATTAGTGACTTTCCTTTTTTGGGCTCTTGCCCTTACCCTCTTTAAAGTTTTTCGATTCCAACTGTCCCGGCGATTTTGAGGACCGCCTTGTAATAATATTATAGAGTCTAATTTTGCATGAGTTGGCAACACAAACAGTTCAAATGCTTAAAAATATACTGCACAAAGTAACAATTTTTAAGGCCCTGTTTGGTTGCGCTGGTCCCATTTCGCTGTTACATACAAACGTCCATTTCCCTTCCATTTCGAAATGGAAGAATGAAATGGCTGTTTGGCAATGGCAAAAGGTACCGACAATTCCATTTCACAACAGCCCTAATGCAACAGTTGCCCTATGAATGTACATATTCACAACACCAGGACAACCATTATTTGCCTATAATAACTTCCTTAGATATCAATCATATCAGTAAGGCATTTTAAAATATTTTTTGATTCAATGGCATCTCAATCTGAAGATAATTCTCTATATGCAGATACAGGAATGCTGTTGGCAGGGGGTCAAAGGTATGAATTTGAGAAGGATTAGATGTATTATTGAATTTTTTTAAGAGGCTCAATAACACTTTTTTAATTTTTTTCCAGTCAAAAAGGGTTCAGGGTGTTCATTGGAAGTGAGTGGTGTTGAATGGACGACGACCGTTTGCACGGGTCCAACCATTTCACACTGGAATGGTCCTGAATGGGACCAGCGCAACCAAACAGGGCCTGAGAATTAGGGTAGCTAATGGAACAGCTTGTTGGGCGTTGATGTATTTCTTACTAGTTTGCTTATCGGAGGGTTTACAGCGACTAGCAAAGATAGGAGCTAACCCTCACTGTTGTTCTATATTGCCACAACCAGTGTTACTTATGTTTGGCCCACATCGCACAGCCCACTCTCTTCCCCATAGGTCACCTCTTATATCCAATCCCCTGTGGTATCATAGTTGTACCCAACCTTCACATTCAAAACACAAACGATCACGCCACAGCAGCCTCAGGTTCCTCTCCCCTCACCCATGGTACATACCGCAGCCACTAAATTCCAACAGGCAGCGGCTACCAGGAAGCGGCCGTCGCTTCTGGGAAAATGAAAAACAACCTTTGTGATGAAATGATATATAATTTTTTTAAAAATAGAGGTCTTTCAGGGTATCATAGGAAACAAACAGTTTAGAACAAATATTGAGGAGTAAGTCCGGTTGAGGTGGGGGTTTCCTAAGGTGGAGGTAGACGGAAGGGGGAGAGGAAGACAAGGAGGAAATAGGTCCTTATTTATTATCCTAGATTCCTATTTCTTATTCCGCCAGGCGTGGTAATGTCCAGATTTTACCAACCATACGGACTCACTCGCTCAACTTTTGGGCGCCCACTGGGGAATGTTTCATCATAGCATATCCTTCCTCTATCATATCTAAATTTCTACTGCAGTCTCCTATGCCGGTATAGTACTAGTCCTAAGACCCCAGGATGGTCGTGGGGACAAACACCTGCGAGGTTGCGAAGTGCTAGTTCAGCATCTCCTTTCTGGCACTGAGCTGAGTTCTAGACTCAGAGACCCACCGATATTCTAGGCACGGAGGGGAAAGGTTTTCGCCTTGGACTGAGCCAAGACGAAGCTATATACTCGGCCTTCCATCGGAGTCCTTGGAGTGGGGGATTGTTTGGGAATGTTGAGGGAGGCTCAAGAATAGAATTGGGAGTGTGGAAGAAGAGGATGACATAATGGATTCTATGCCCGGGCTTCTATACTAGCTGGGTTGCGGGAGTCTGTGGATGAGTCTTGGTGGTAGGAATTCCATATACATCCCAGCATGTACTAGGGGTACTTAAGGAGGACTCATAGTTAGCATTTGCTTTGTACTTATTTTCTGTCTAGCTTTACTTTCTCTTAATCTTCTTAACAACAACTACCTTAATCCTGATCAAACTTAAAATCGAACAGGAATGAATAATATAAGCGATTACTCACGACATTACCGGCACCAACCCACCAGGTTTTGTGGGAACTGCCTTAACTCTAGCCATGGATATGTAACTCACATTCAGGAGAATTGAGTAAAGGTCGAGTGATAGCTATGTTTACTGTACGCTCGCTTCTATAGACATGTCAATCAATTGATAGTCTACTGCTACAACCTATTCCATTTCCCGGGCGAGTTTTATCCGTCCCATAAATGGTAGCTCGAACTAAGACTACCAGAAACCCCGTCCCATAGATTTTAATGTACAATATCTGGCAAATATCTCGGGAGTGGAGTGGGCAGGCTACACAAAAGCGTGGAAGGAGGGTAGGAAAGGGGTGGTCCCAGACTTCGGTCTCTTATTTAATACTAGAGCACCCGTGCCAATGAAAAAGGCTTGGATGCAAGATATGACACAAAACCTATTGAAAGCTTAGTATCCTTCCATGGATCACTGCACATATATCTGTGCCTCCTGATGCATCTCTATCCCTTGCACCCTTATAGAATAACGAATGAAAGTCGTCGGGGGATCTTCTCTGTAAGGAAATGACGACAACTCTAGAACCGGATGAACGATCCTCGGCACTCACCACCAACTCTAGAAACTTCAACCTGGATCCGCTCGAGCGGAGAAAGTACGGGGGGGAACGACTTGAAGGGCATATTGGAGTGAAGTGGGAGAGAGATAAGAAATAAGGGGAAAAGAAATATGATAGCTCTCAAGCTTCAGAAGAGGCGACTCTGATCTCCAAGAAAGAGAACTATAATAATTCCGGCTCCCACTGTCTAGTGCGAGCAAACCCCTTCCCACCTATTTTCCCGACTCCACTTTTCACCTCCCTAGTTGGTAAGGTGGTTGCGGGGTAAAACACCACGACGCACACTCTCACTATCCCTCTAAGCTGAACTTCGGAGCTTCGTAGGCTTAGAGTATCAACTTCATTTTTGTAGAGTTTAAGTACACCATAGCTAGCACCCTGCCTGCCCCCTCGTGCACTTTCGTAGTAGCATCCTCGCCTACAACTATAAGAAGAACCACTGCCCTAGTCTTCCTCATCCTACCCCACCGGTTGCTAAAACACTCTAGATTGTTCGCATTTCTCCCACAAGGTGCCAGCACACCCACGATCTCTCAACACAATTACAATAAAGGTTCCTTGGCTCCCAACCGAAGATAAAGGTCCCTCAGTATGCCCTTATCGCTCTATCCCGAGGCTAGATTAATAAAAAAAATTGGGAAGGTTGTGTTTTAAAGTTTCTTCTTTTTGTTGCCGGGGTCTACTGGGGTGTCTTTCTTTTCTGCCTCAGCTCCCGATTTTAGGGGATGACGCATAGTTAGTCTCATACCGGAGGGGCTTTAGGATTGGAGACATAGGACAGTTAGAGTGCATTTCTTTTGTCGGTGATCTAAGACCCTCCCCCATAACTTGTGTTGAATGCCATAGGTGAGCCCCGGCCTTGTACCTAAATCAATCCACTGGACTTAATGGAAAAAAACGGTCTGGTGTGATGCAACGGAAATTTTTTCCAGAGTATGTATTGTGAGCCAGCGAGTGACTGAGTGGGTGAGAGGGGGAGCGAGAAATGGTGTGTTTATGGGTTTCATTTGACACGAAATTTCCTTTCTCTAGTCTCAGATCATAATTCTCCCTAGGATACTACAGGTATTAAGGCACCCTGAGGTCTTAGACGAGACAACGCACGCTTTTGTTATATGCTGGGCACGCAGTAAGTTTCCCGGATCTTGATTAAGGTGTTTGCTACAACCTACTACGGCCCAGCACGATTCGCCTAGTGGGAGGTATAAAGTAACTGTTACTCTATCCAATGCTCTGGCGTCCAACTGCTCCTTAATTATCTGTCACCGATACTGGCAGCTCCAGCACAACATCTTCCACCTGTTCGCCAGCCTACTATATGCCACAATTCACAACTTAAGACATATCTCACACTATTGCTTCCTTCGCCCTATGCAATAGATCTAGCGCATCCTATCACTACTACTAAGTTGTCATAGCAATTTTGGTAGTGGTGTTGTTTTATATATACCCCTCAATGCCAAGAGTTTCATTCAAACCGGGCATCCAACCTGCCACACCAAACCCTACAGTGATATGACACCCGTACAAGGCTGTACTCCTAGGGGATTTCGCTGGCGGGGTCTTGGCTGCTAATCCCTTAACGTTACACACATGTGAGCCACACTCGCCAAGCTTTTCACCACCCCCTTGTACTCGAGTACAGGTTACTGACATCATAAAGAACCGGGACAAGGGCCGGGGGGGATAGGTGAGAGGAAGGAAGACAGGAATGGAGGACAAGGGAGTTGGGGGGAGTGATGGAGGAATCAAATTGTTTTTTAAGGGAGTATAAGAGTGAGCGCAGATACTTGTACTTTAGTTTAGTTTAGAAAGCGCGAAATGGAAAAAGTTTTAAAAAAACCCCGCCGGAACATAGGTGCCAAGCAGAGGAGTCACACAGGGGTCTGACAGGGGCTTGGGCAGGGGTTGGGCAGGCATCTGAAATGGGGTATTCACTTTGCATTTGGTACCAGATAGGGGGTTCGTTCGAATAATCTGCAGTTGAAAAAGAAAAAAAAAATAGATGAATCTGGAATTATTTATAATACATAAAATAAAGATAA